TGCTGACCCCCAATTGACATGACAGATTTACGGCCCTGCTTGTTTGTTTTGAACGAACGAGTTTGATTCCTTTGGAAAACGTTGCTTCTGGATCTCGTAATATAAAATTTTAAGTATTTTGACATATTGGTGTTGATTCCGTGAAAATCTTGCGTTATTATATTTCAAGAAGTCTATCTATAAAGGGAGCTTATCCTGACACGAAAGTGTCATTCAGTCTGATTTTATCCACTCTTAATATGATGAACTTTTTAATTGTAATGTTTTTTCGTAAATCGATACAATTAGTTAAATAGAGGACCCTCGTGAAAAGCACCCTTACCCTTTGAGTGACTGACGCCTTCCTCTGTAAATATTTATATTATTATTATTATTATTATGAACAATACCCTTGCTACACAGAAAAACTTGAAAAAGTGGAACTTGAGCCAGACTTCTGATTGTTCTTTCTGTTTTCTGCCAGAAACCCTCCTACACGTTGTTGCTGGCTGCAAAACATACTTGGAACAAGGCCGATACACCTGGCGTCATAACTCTATCTTAAACTTTCTAGCTACGTCTCTTAAAGCTGTTAATGAATCTACCATCTACGCTGATATACCTGGCTATCTTTCACCATCAATCATAACTGGAGAAAACCTTCGCCCAGATCTTCTCTTGAAGACTAACAACAATTACCTATACATCTTAGAGCTTACTGTTGGTTTTGAATCCAATCTTGACACAAATGCAACAAGAAAACACAGCAAGTATGCTCCTCTCCTATCTGACTTACAGCGAAAGTTCAAATGTGTCTCTTTTGTGAATCTTTCTATGAGCTCTCTTGGCATCTTTGGCAATTCCTGCATCTCTTTCTTCAAAATGTGTGACTCTCTCTCCATCGATCAATAACAAAAACGGTATCTCATCTCTAAACTTTCCAACATTGCCATTCGTACTACGTACTACATATTTTGTTGCAAAAATAAACCATGGACAAATCCGGAATTACATCCGTTTTAATTTTGGTTGTTTTATTTTTCTCAGTTTTTCCTTTTACCTTACGATTGTTATAGTTTTTTCTTGTAAAACCAGGCTAGCCAATTGCAAATTACCTTGTAATAGTGAGATTTGTAATTGTAGTTTAAGTTGAATTGAAAATGAAATGTTTCCATTATTATTATTATTATTATTCTACCATCTACGCTGATATACCTGGCTTTCTTTCACCATCAATCATAACTGGAGAAAACCTTCGCCCTGATCTTCTCTTGAGGACTAACAACAATTACCTCTACATTTTAGAGCTAACTGTTGGCTTCGAATCCAATCTTAACACAAAAGCTACAAGAAAACACAGCAAGTATGCTCCTCTCTTATCTGGTTTACAGCGGCAGTTCAAATGTGTCTCCTTTGTTAATCTTTCTATGAGCTCTCTTGGCATCTTCGGCAATTCCTGCAATTCATTCTTCAAAATGTGTGACTCTCTCTCCATCGATCAGCAACAAAAACAGTATCTCATTTCTAAACTTTCCAACATTGCCATCCGTACTACGTACTACATATTTTGTGGCAAAAATAAGCCATGGACAAATCCGGATGTACATCCTTTTTAACTTTAGTTGTTTTATATTTTTTTCTCAGTTTTTCCTTTTACCTTACGATTGTTATAGTTTTTTTCTTGTAAAACCAGGCTAGCCAATTGCAAATTACCTTGCAATAGTGAGATTTGTAGTTGTAGTTTAAGTTGAATTGAAAATGAAATTTTTCAATTATTATTATTATTTATATTATTATTATCAATGTCCTCTATATTTTGCTTACGTTATCTTCATACATGTAGAATCTACCTTAAAATCCCTATAAAGTTTTGGGGTTTTTATAATCAGATTGCTTCTATTCAACTGTTATTTAAAGAATAAGCGATTTATTACCTAGTTTAGTCTGATTATGTTCAGACGTTCCGCTTGCTGATTTAATAAGATACATACTTTCATATACGTTATTTGCTTCGCTGTGTATGATCACAGATCAGAGAAAAGAAAAATTGTTTTCTTGTGTTTAAATTTTCATTACTACATATTATCTTTAAACTGGAAGGCTTGAGAATCTTCGTCAGATAATTGGAAAATTTTTCTACATAAATCGGTAATGTCCGTTGAAACTAGCATATTATCTGCTTCTTGGAAACTTGCCAGAGTTGATCCAATTACTAAAGATTTTCCCATGAAGTTACCGAACAATTTTTGTGCTGTCTGTTATTTCAAGGTTGTTTTAAAGGCTTATAGTCAACCATCTGTGCAAATATCTAGACACAAAAAGGCTTCTTTCTGGTGAACGGTCAGGCTTTAGATTTTCATTTCCACCTTAGCTAACAAGTCTGCTCAAAACAACTGATGAATGGTACGTTGTATTGACGATGGCTATATCATCGGTTCAGTTCTTATTGACCTTAGAAAGGCTTTTGATGCAGTCAGTCATGAACGTCTGCGCCAAAAACATGGGCTTTATGGAGTTGCCGACAGTGATCTCTACTGATGCCAATCCTACCTGTCTAACAGGAAACAGTTTTGTAGGATTAACGGTATGGATTCTAAAACGCAGAAAATAGAGGTTGGGTTCCACAAGGGTCATGTCTCGGCCTTCTACTTTTCCTTGTCTATATTATATCAATGATCTTCTCAATAGTGACCTTTAGAATTGGGATTCCTGGATATGTGGTAACAAATTATAACTGAATGCAGCCAAGATACAGGCAATGCAAATTTGTACGTAAATTAAGCAGAAGGAGTTTGAAGGTACTAGTGAACGTTTATGCTTGAAAATCAGAGATAACAATAAAGCATTTGTCGAAAAGACAAAATATCTTGGTGTTAAAGCTGACAATAGCTTCGATTTGAGGCAGTATATTAAAATCGTCTTTGCTCAAGGGTAGTGCTAAAAATATTTTGCTACGGGAGTGTCAAGTAAGAGGTCTTGCGATTATACACAATAAAGGCGAACTCTGATGTCGAAAATAGAAGCGACCTTTTCCCCATAGTTTTTCCCCATAGTTTACTAATATTGACTTTGTAATTCTTGAGCAAATTTCCTACTGATAGTATGAATAAACATTTTACATTTTTCAGTTATTTTGAAAGTCGGCTCGTTTTTTAACCTCCGTTGATCCGCAACCTTTAAGTACCATTCTGAATAATATCTTAACAATAGCAGTCTAAAGCAACATAAAGTAAAAATATGAGCATACTTCGTTTGAAAACATAATGATTTCAGTAATGAAACAGCAAATAGACACAGGCGAGCAACATAGGCTTTTGATATCGAAAAACTTTCTTCATTCAATCATTAACAACACTGGGAAGAATTTACTTGATAAGGTTAAATTTTGGCTAGCTTGCAGATTATACAAGGAACACGAGCAACGAACAAAGAGACAATAGTTACTAACTGAGGAGGCACCATGGTTCCTAGGAAACTTTTGAATTTTGAGGCTTCCAGTTCACGGGAAAATGCACTCATTGATCCTCAATTTTTACTACCTGACAATTCAACCTTACTCTTAGAATAAATATCCACAGGTGGAATGCTATTTGACGGTTTGAGTCGATTTTTTGCTAATCAATCTCGTCATTCGCGCAACCCAACCCTGCAACATTGTAATGTTGAATTTGGTTCTCACTAGCTTCAATTTGCCAATAGACAGTTGAAGTTTTAACGTGCCGAGGATCGAAAACGTTCAAATCGAAATGAGAATGAAAGCAATTAAATATACCATCGACCTGAATGAATTTTCATTTATGTCATCACCAAGTTTGCCGAGTATGAACAAAAATTGACGAACCTGCCGAGTAAAGAACCAATTTATAACACTTGGGGGTGTCATACGCGTGTCACAAGCGTGTCACATGCGATTCCTTTGCCCTGATTTCATCCTATTTTCAGAACATCCCAACACCGGCTGGTTTGCGCTCACTCCAATATAGTTAATAGCAATTTTTGATGGTACAATATTTCAAATGACTTTAAAAACAGACGCCATTAGGCATACTTGAGCTTTTCATTTGACAATTTTCGGAGCATAAATAGTCAAATTTATCATCTAAAATGTTAAGTTAATTAATATATCAAACAGGTTTTGGATCGAAAAAGGCCTATTAGAAACACGTGCACATGACAGGTTCCCCGGGCTGTGCTGCATGCCTATAGAATGTTTTCCAAGTGCTAATGCAAACCCATTATGTCAACAAAGCTGGGTATTTTCTAACTTCACGTTTTCGGTCCTTATTCTGACATTTTTAACTCTGAAGAGTGTCAGATGTAAAGCTTTACTTTTTTTTAAATCCTTGATTTTTCGAAAGCCATTTTGATAATTGATTGGCTATGATAGCATTGAACATGGGAGACTGGGACGACCCTTTGACGTTATTCTATCATCATTTTCAGAAAAAAATTATCTGTGATTTCATAGATAGAGAAGGAATTAATATATGAAAATCTGCAAAGATATTAGATTCGATGATCTAATATTTGCTAACACTAGAAGCAACTCAAACCTGAAGAATCAATTAATACTTTTAGATAATTCAAACATTAAAGAAAAGCACTTGGTCGAAAACACTGCTGGAGCTTACGTTATAGATGTAAAGGTTGGCTGAAATAAACCTGCCTCCAATGGTTATTGCAAAGCTGTTGCCAACAAAAATAAAAGCAAATAGTTATTAAAAATTCCGTATGAACCCTTTACCTTGCATGATATAGCGAGTGCTGCGAGCAACGGGCTTGGACAATTTGGCAACACTTGGAGACGTTTCTGGAAACATATCTTAGTCAGATTTGATAAGACAAAACACAAACATTCAGCTAGCAATAAACACTTAAAAATTGATCCTCCAGCATTAAAATTCAAAAAGGCAAATTCCCTATTTACATAAACCTTTTGTAAAAAAATTTTTGCTATAAAAATTTATTCTGTATAGAAGCTTAAAAAAATACTTTTTTCAAAAGCGTTTATTCTTGTCTTCTTAACCGACAATCTGATGCATAATATCCATTTCATCTCCAAAATGCATTATAGAGCTCCCCTCATTCACCAGAGGATTTGTCAGGTTTTCAATCTCCATCATTTCTGTTTTTTGGGGGAGTTTGAGATCTGGGTTTTGTGTCATTTCGGAAATCCAGAAAGAAGTATCCTCGCATATCTCCATTTCACAAGAGCGAGGGCTACAACATTCAGACGTTTCAGAGCTGTATTCCTCATCAAGGCTTCTCAAATCTTCAAATTGCAGAAGAGGAAGGTCATTTGACATAAAACAAGCTGTGAGTAGATCCTTTTCTTTATGTTTCTGTTTCATAAATAATGGCATTGCGTCTTCCAGGTCAGCCCAGTCTTCTGTCGAAGAAGTGTCTAATTCTGATCCAGATTCGTTTGAATTGCTAATTGAGGATTTCGTTGCTGTTGAACTTTCATCAAAGGCAGTAAATTTTGATTTGCATGGCAGAGACTTAGTTCTAACTCTGTATTGTTCAGGGACTTCAAGTAATGTTGTACTGGAACACTTTTGGTCATTTTGAGCCTCTTGTTTTATTTCTTTATCCTTGGTGGCAACGTATTGTGCAAAAACACTGAGAAAGTTTGGCAAAGACTTTGTTCTTGACGGCTTGACACCCTTGTTAAATTGAGCAGAAAGCTCTTCTTGTGTCGGTAAATATGGCATCGTGTTTTCAGAGAGTATAAATCTGTATGTGTATGGCTGTGATTGAACCTGGCAAAAGAGAAAATCAGTATGAGCATTGAATTTTTCAATAAGGAATATATTATTGGGGTTTTTTCTATTTCTTGCTTACACAATTAACATAAGGGCTAATATTACACGAAAGCTACATTATCTAATAATTGGAAAATATGAAAAATTGTTGCCAGACAAGTAAAAAATTATTCAAAAGATTCTTTTTGGTATTTCTTTAAATTCGTCAATGGGTTGTGTTTTTGTTGCACAAGTGAAAATAGAAATAAAAATGAACTGAATAGGTGTAAGGGAATCAGGAATTACATTGCTAGGCAAGTACGCCATTTTTTCATAAGAACAAGTTTATAAGAACATGAGCCTTAAAACTGGTCAAAAATTAAAAACAAATAAAAACAAGCTGAAGCTGAGGTACCCTGAAATATTATGTTGAACAAAGTTGTGAAACCCTTGAAAAAATCCCATCTCATAAATCGAGGTTTCTGCCATCTGCCATAGTTATTGCACTGCTTAGAACCTAATATTTTAAAACAAACTAAGAACAACCCAGCCCGAAGTTTTGGAAAAATAAGAAAAGCCAATCTAAACTTTAATTCATTAGCTCTTATAAAAAAGCGTATATACTGTCTCTCTCTGAGCTAAATTCTGTTAACCTTAAGTGGAGAGACTTTGTGCGGAGAACCATTTGCTTTGAGCAATTCTATGTTTTCTTCAATATTCCTACAAGAGAGAAAATCATAATTTTTGTAAATTACCTGTGACGAATGGAAATATACTTACTTTTTCGATAATCCTCTTTCCATAGTAGTAGCGCAGGGCTCTGGACAGTTTTGCATAGTCCATAGAAACATTTCCTTTCACCAAACCCCAAACATGTGCGAGTAGGTCACGATCTGTAACCGTAAATTCAAGCCTGTATGTATCTGTCCATGCAAGGCAAACCTGTTTTCGATCGGCCTTGATAACTGTTATCATGAACAACCAAAGTGGCAAACGTCTTTGATGACCTGATAAAAATTAATGAAATAATATTCAAAAAACAAGACATTGAAAAGACTTGACTTTGCCTGCAAAAGTATCTTGTGGTTGTCCTATTTTTCACGAATGCAAGGCTATGAACTAGAATAACTATTAATCTATATTTGATTGCTGCTAAAAGCTGTGATTTGCTATCAGCTTCAAAGGTCAATGATATTTTATTGAAAATCCGTCGGTTTTCAGCAGGATACACTTAGGTTGCTGTGTTGCAAGCATGGTGTAACAAAAGAAAAAGATTTTTCAGCAGCATAAAACATACTTGATAAAACACTCCAGTCACCCTTCATTCTTTGAAAAGCTTTTATTCAAAGGCAGCTTTTGCCAATTAAGCCCCAATACATGAATCCTAGTGCAGAGATTTTCAGAATACATTTGAATACAACAGAGTTCTAAAATGTGACGTCATTAAAAATCGTCTTTGGGAGTTTTTATTTTTGATCACATATCCTTATAGAACACCATGAAATACCTTTAAAATTGGAAAACCAGATGAATAAATAAATGAATTGGTGAGTTATGACCTATTAAATGTTTGCTGTTTGCTGACATATTATTGTTATTTTGGCTTGGCTACGAAATATATCAGCCACTTTCATACGAAATTGGCTGATTTTACATATTTAGGGCTATGATGTTTTTCATGTTATGAGTTTCGAATTCAAATATTCTTAAAGATTTTCTAACGTCATCACGGTAGGACTCTATTCAGCCAATGATTAATCCTCGTACTAAAGCATTAGAAAAATGGCGGCAACATTAATAAGCTTCTTGGACATCGCATTGTTATCAAATGCTATAATATAGAGCTTATGGCCACTTTAGATAAGGCTAATTAATGACCTTGAATTCAAATTGCGTCTGAGGTGTTAGCACAAGGTCTACTAATAAATAGACTTTACGAATTCTTCTGACAATGTCTACAAAACTTGAGTATCATGATGAGGAAATAATAAAACTAACACTAGGCTTGGGCATGATATTTCAACTTCATTTGTTTCCAAAGATTGTGGTCTCTGCACAAATCAGATAACGATATAAATGAAAGTTGTCGTAAAAGCTACTGTGTTGTTTCATTCTTAAAGGGTGTGTTTTTAGCAAAGAATTGGGTACAGTGTGCGTACTTGCGGGGATTGCGAATTTTTTTTTCAAGTTTCCTGTAAATCGATTCGTTTGTGTAAGTATTAATGTTTACTTTTAAGGTGTAATTTCTTTCTTTCTAATGCACCAGTAAAACAGGGTCAAGAAAAATGCTCAGCCTTACTGCGGCCAAGAAACTGTTACTATAAAACCTCCCTTGTTTTCAATGAGGCGTGGTCAGGAAAATTGGTAGGTAGTCAATTTGTCTCCTCTCCTTGCAACTCTGTTTTTCCAAAAAAAAATTTTAGCTTATTCTCAATTTTAGATATTTTAGAGACAGATAGAAGGGTGCTTATAAAAGTTTATAAATTTTATTTTGATCTTTTTAAATTTTGTCTGTTGTATTTTGAAAACCAACAAGCAATACGATTTTTCCTACTGCCTCAAGTTTCTAAACTTTTGGTCACATTCCTCGATTTTTTCAAGATTCTACAACTTTTTTCCGTGATGTTTCCCTGACCCTGAAGTAAAGTACCGAATTAGAGAGCTGCCTGCTGATTCTGTTAAAGACTTATGCAAAAATCTGCAAATGAATTTCTCATCCATACTAAAATACCATTGTCTTCCTTTGATTGTACAATATGAAATGATGTTTCATACCAAATAATTATGATAAGGTTGGGCAAAAAAATTTGAGTTGAATGATCCCCGAAAGCAAAATTTTGAGTATCCCACTTCAACGGCTAACATAACCATACCATCAGTAAGTGTCATATAACTTATTTCCTATTTACTTTGATTTGATTATGATCAACTTCTGTTGAAAATATCTTAACTTATTATGAGTTAAGATATTTTCAATAGAAATTATTATGAAAGTATATCTATTTTATTTCATCAAACAATATTTATTATATGAATTTATTTGTTGTATGAATCATATGAAAAGTCTGAAAATGGAAGAAAACAGCTCAGATGGCTGTCTCCTGCTAGTATTTTCTATTTTCTTGTCAATTTTGTGCTCATAGGCTTCAGTTACAAGTGGGTTACAAGTCATAATTTAAATTCAAGCTAGTTTTTGTCAATGTTTATTGATAAGGCCAATAATGTTAGCTCTTTTCAGTTATTCATTAAGATAAATCTCTGACTTAAAGCCACTTTTTTTGTGAATTTTAGCAAATATTTTTTGCATAAAATAACAGTCCCAAGACCCACTTTGAAAAATAAATTTTGCGATGTAACGTCGTGTATCAAATTATAGCATCAGGACGATACCGTTTTTAGATTAAATTGGCTGATAAAGATGAAAGAAAACATTGAGTTTTAGGCCCTCTAGCGTGTACCAACCTTTCTCGTAGGCAGAAACGCTGGAAGAGCTGCAGTGCAGGGGCGGGGGTGGGGGGGGTGAAGCAGCAAAGAACAGAGCAAAACAATAGCAAAACTATGAAAATTGGTTAAGTTTGTGAGAGCAGTGATTGCCTAACCTGCGTGCAGACACAGAAATGTAAGAGGAGAGAAGGTAGAGTCTGCGCAACAGAGCCGCTTTTCTTGTTCGCTGACATCAACATTTTATTCTAAGCACTAGAACAACAACTCCATTAGCGTGCAATGTTTTTCTGAAATTTTAGTTGTTCAAAAGAACAAGCATACCCATTCTATTATCCTGATACCATTCATTTATACTTTTGCTCGAAGGCGCCACTTTGAAAACTGGAAAAAAAAACAATTGAAATTCCCCCAGCCAATCAAATTCGGTTCCTTGATTTTGAGGAACCTTTGAAGAAGAAAATCGTCCCGGCACAACTACAGTACCCAATCTCCGCCCTTCAATCTTGTTCAACAAAATTGGTAAACTCAGCCTATGTTATTAAACATTCCAGTTTTCTTGGCTTTTTAGAAGTTGCTACGTCTACTTTTTTTGAAAACTGACAACAAAAACAATTGAAATTCCCCCAGCCAATCAAATTCGGTTCTTTGATTTAGAGGAACCTTTGAACAAGAAAATCGGCTCGGCTTTGCAGACTCTAGATGTCCCGGCACAACTACAGTACCCAATCTCCGCCTAGATGTCTCGGCACAACTACATTACCCAATCTCCGCCCTTCAACCTTCAATCTATTGCAGAGCTTGCCCAACGTTGCTTCTTTGTTTCAGTCAAATTCTCCCTTTAAGTTATTGGATTGTTGTCAATTCTTTGCTTCCATGACTGTACCCATGAAACGCCGCACAGGATCAGCTATAGAATCTGTGGCCATTCAATGTTGTACTACTTGCCAATAGTATAGAATAACAGGCGTTAAATTTTGGGTAAGTGTTGTGAGAGTATAACGAGATCTTCTTTAAAAACAATGCTGATTTTCAATAGATAACCAATAAACTTTTATTTCTGACCAGAAGCGATTAACTATGAAAATTAATGAGCCAAACAACTGACAATACTAAAATGCGGAACAAATGATAAGCAGCCATGACGGAACCAAGGTAATGCTCACGCCGGATACCCAGCAATAGAAATACATCATGAAACCGTTAGTCTGCGCCGTTTATTCCCGGTAGCCAAAAAAGGAAGGTTGATGAAATGCACAGATTGGAAGTGTGATGGTATTGGGAGTGGGGCATGGAACATGAAACATGGGACATGGGACATGGGACATTTTTGCGTTTGATATGTAATCTAAGAATTCAAAAACAAAGTAACGGTGCTTTCAAGTTTATGAACAAAGCTGAACTTAACAAGATTTCGTCAACACAAAGCCGGAGAATCCTTGGAGCAAAAAGCGAGTTGGTCACCCTGTGGACATCCAATTGTAATACACCAATTAGGTGAATACAATTCAATACACTTCATGAATACACCAATTCAACGTACGGCCTCGTTTCGGAAAACTTTCCAAACATCATTGCACGGCTGTTTGAAGGTCAGATTTGCCTAAACAGTGAAATGAACAATTTGAAGCAATGGTTGCAGGGTAATAAACTTTATCTAAATTTTCTAAAAACACAAGCTCTGATTATAGGCTCCCAGCCCAGAAATAAAAAAATTACTGATAAAACAGTTGATCATCCACAGTTTTTTATTGGTGACACTCAAGTTGAAAATGCTGACCGAACAAAGTATCTGGGTGTGATAATCGATAGAAGCTTAAATTGGGAAGAACACGTTAACAGTCTCCTTACCAAAGTTTCTCATGCAATCGGATTTGTGAAATATTCCAGAAATTTTTGCCTCAAAACACATTGAGTAAAATGTATCGGGGTATCGTCGAGCCCCATTTTCGGTTCTGCTGTTCGGTATGGGGGTGCTTTGGGGTGACTAAACTGCAATCGTTGCAAAAGCTGCAGAATCGAGCAGCTAGAACAGTAGTTAAAAGAAAAGTTGATGCGCCTGCTATGCCACTGATTCGCAGTTTGGGTTTGCCAACTATAGATGACATTATTAGAAGCGAAACAGCTACAACAATGAACAAATCACTAAATGGGCTCGTCATGGTATCAATTGATATCATTTATACCTTTGCAACCTGTTTGAAAAAAATTCGACTCGAAATGTTAGAAAACTGAGAAAAACCGATACCGATCTCTTGCTACCCTTACGGAAAACAAACAATGGGCAGAGAGCTATTTATTTTTCAGTGGACCTAAGCTTTGGAACCAAACTTAGGTGCCAAACAGGCACCTACCCTTGCCACCTATAAGAAAAGAATCAAAAACTAACTATGAGCGACTATTCCTATTTCGTAGTATCTATCTTCTTACTTTTTATTAGTGTTTTCTTAATGTTTTTGTCACGGCCCCCTGAAAAGCAGTTCTCATGGACTGACGGGGCTACCGTGCCTAAATAAACAAAAATGTAAATGTAAATGTAAAAGTTTATATCGCCAATATTTTTAGGCCGTATACAATTGTTTGCACTTGTATTTTAGATTTTACAGAGAAATGAAGTTTGTAAACGTGTAAGGGATTTGACCGCAAAAATCCTTTCATGGACGGGACGTTTCTTTTTCTAGAGAATATAGAACATGCTAACCAGCAAAAAAGATTACAATTAAAGAAATATATTCTTGTTCTGTAGAATCTCCTCTATTTTAACAATCGATCAGTATCACATCAAAAGAAGTAATGCATCGTTACGCACATTAATGTTGTGTGATATTTTTCTTTATTCCTACCCTAATGAGGTACAATACCATTATTGTAAAATCAAGTAAACATTTAGGACCTGAATAGAGAGGATTTTCACCGGAATGCGCGTCACATGCAAAAATTTGGCCTTGAAATTTGGCGCACATTTAATTCCAAGTTATTGGTAGGAGAATTGGCACAAGAAACCGTCATTGCACAACTTGATTTGGGAAATATTTTTTGCTGCAAACTTCAGATTCAATCTAGGCAGATTTTTCGCCTAACTGTTAAGTAGCTGTCGTCGGAGTCCAGCAGATAGAATCCCATGTAGGACACTCAGTTCAAAGCCTTCAGAAAAGAGCGGCTCAAAATTTTAGGAGAGAAATAAAACGTTGGCAGTTTATTTACACTCGCTAAAGAAATAATTTTAGAGAACTCTTTGATATTAAAACAACACTAGAGCATGAAGAAAGTTGCATGTAAAAAGGCTTCTGGAAGAAGTGGTGTAAAAAGTTAGGAAAGTGTTTCAGAACCCATACCTAATACCACGCTCATGAGGACACCCTGAATACTTGATTTGTGTTAAAGATGTTTTGTATATGAAATTGCTCAAACTATTCAAACAAGCAAATAATGTTCCTTAAGCAATTTCTTCCAAAGCAAATCAATTTCCCAACCATTTGCTCCGTAATTTATGCTTTTTTCTAGATGAGACATCTTTTGTTAGTTTAAAGTTTGTCTTGGCTAATTTCTAGAATGTTTAGCAACGGCGCGACATGTCAACATATGACCTGTATTTACGAAGATCTTGGATAACATTCTGTCTGGACATTCCGGTTTTAAGCTGGCGTGCTAATTCTCGGACTGCTCATAAAGCCCCTGAAAAGTCAACTGAACTGAACAGAGACACTCCCCCTTTGATCAAGTATTGCGAAACACTTCATGCAATGAGATCTGTATCAAATGAAATGCAATGAAAATAATAAGGAAGCTCGCCTCTTTTAAAGAAGAATCTACTTCTTTGCACTTCTTGAAATTCCCCTACCACTCTTTGAAGAAACGACATCTTTTCTTCGACGACTCTAGAATGAAATTTTCAATATTAGTAAAAGAACCTTGAGAAAAGACTTTGCTTGATCTGTAAGACCAAAAACAAAAATGTTGCCGCCAAGTATGACTTTCAGCAAAAACAATAGGAACCAGCAGATTTTGTGTGTTCAGGAGTTTCACCAGCATAGTAAAATTAAAAGATGAACGCCTCGTACCCAGCTAAGATCAACAAACTGTTGCTTGCATCTTGATAGCTTATTCTTTGTCTTCTCTTGCAAAACGTATTAAACACTTATTGTCCTAGAATGTCTACTAAAGTGGGTAACATCCCTGTAGACTCTTAAGTTGCAAGATTATTCTTAGTCCATTGGATGTCCACAGGTCGCCAAATACCCTGTATTGTTTAGCGTCAAGTTTAGCTCCAAGAGGAGACAAAGCACAATTATATTCAGGCATTATGGATTATACTAATTTCAAAGATATATGAATTGCGATAAACAAATGGCGCAAAATTACAGTGGAAATGGTTTGGTCACGTTATAGACCAGGCTGTGGTTACGGCAAGTACCACCCGAGCACGGTGAAATTGTGATGGGCATTTTCAGTTAGCTATAGACCTGGGTGTTCAGAATCGCGATGGTAAACGGGAATCTACTGGTGCGTCTTGGAGCTGGGGGCTTTTCTTCTTAGCCTCTTTGATCTAGTGTCTCTGCGGAGGAGCTTTCTGATAATTTGTTGTTTAAACCACCAAAATGCAATCTAACTATATATTATATTGTCAACACATTGATAATCATCAATAACAAGTTTAGACATTACTGGGGGAGGAAGAGGGGGAGGGGTTGATTTTGCAGGTCAACTGTCTTATAATAATACCCTTACGACAGCAAAATTTCTTGGATATGTGATTTTATTTCCATTGGTGATCTGCAGTTTCCTTCTTTTACCGCAGGGGCCTCTATAACCACTCTGTGCCCTTTTTGCAAAATTTGAACAAAGCATAGCTGATAAAATATTAGCCAGTACTAAATAATCAATCAAACAATATATGACCAAAATCAAAACTGCTTGTGAATTGTATATTTAATTTCAAAAATCATAAATGGATTGTTCTTCTTGCTACTTAACCATGGCATGGTTAGCATGGTCTATTATGTTATCTTGTCGGAAAATCATAGGCCTCCCACCCCCAAATGAAAGCCTGAATTTCTGCCATTGCTTAGATCTCTTACTAAAATTGATTACAAAGTTACAGAGATCAACAGAAAAGAAGCATTAAAGGGCTACATATAGGATAGATGGTCGAGGAGAAGCTTTTTTAAATAGGTGAACTAACGTAGAGACACCCCTTCATAAAACAAAGAAGGTTAAATTATTGCACTTTAGAAATGAGTTTACTTTAAACAAAATAAAAATCCTCACATGTTGATGTTCATCGGTGTTTATAAGTAGGTTTGATCGGGCATCTCCTATGCATCTTTGAAATGATATTTCATTAGATTGATATGATATTACAGGGATACAGTTGCATTTTTAATGTCGCAAAATTATTCTTTAATGTCGCAAAATTTTGCAGAAAGCAATGTTGATCGAAAAGTTTCACTAAAGGCCAAGTGCAGTTGTACCGTTGCTGATTGTCGACAATAAAATTAAAAAAGTAGTGAAAGATTATTTTGCATAGAGAAAACTGTACTTGAACTTGACTGACTGTAATTTTGCAGTAGCGTTTTATGAATCGGCAACAGAGATTCAACTTTCAATTTTAACGCTTCTTTTTCTCTTTAAAGCTTGCTTGCTCTTGCAAAACAAAAATTAGCAGGAATTAAAATAGCGATCTTTTACCCTAAAGAGTGTTAAACCATTCAATTCCCAACCCCTTCCCCTCTGTACTACTAGAAGCCGTGTTTGCTATAAACGTTTTTTATTCTCTCTTCTATCACCATCTCAAGAAGGTTTTTTGCCAAATCCAACTGATGCTAATACTGGCAAGAATAAATCGTTTTGACAACTTGTTATTTACTTGTTTCCATGGTCTAATAAAAACATTTACAATGTTACGAAGTTGGCTAACAGAGGGTTTTCCAGGGGTTTTCGGGAACAAGGGAACATGGCTAAAAATGGTACAGGAACACGGGAACAACTTACATTTTCCACTGGGAACATGGGAACATTGGCTATTTTTTCAAAGGGAACAGGGGAACTAGTATCTCCTTAGGACACCCTTAATACATTGAAGGCTTTTAGGCAGATGGGAATATTTTCGGGCTCAAACACCAAATACTCACTTTTTTTTAAGAACAGATAAAAAATTTGAAAGAAAAGCCAATATTTTTTGAAAATTAAATCTTACATTAACAAAACAAGATGATTTTATCAGCAATTCAACGGTGCTTCTAAAGATTTAATGACAAACTGTTATTTTATGGTCTTAGAAAGTATTTATAGCATATAAGAAATTCATAAAGACGACCCGAGCCTTGAATTGTGCAAAATATAGGCACATCAAGCTCAGCAAAAATTATCTGGCTCTTATGAAAAAAATTGTAGTTTATGCAAAGACATAATACAGTTCAAGCGACATAGTACATAATACATAGTACAACCCATCATATCACCCCTGTACTATACAGCTTATGCGATACAATGTTGTTATATAATGGTTTCATGGCTTGGGGAACTGATTTAGAGATCTACCTCGTTCACTTATTTATATGTGAACGTATTTATATTTAACTAGCTGCATGCAAAATTTTTGCTCAACGAGAAAAAGGTCAAAGGGCATCAGCAAAGTTGACCCAGGGATGACCGCAATCTATTTTACAAAAAATTAGAGGAATAATTTTTCTATGATCAACGTTTTCTCTAAACTGAAGAATCAAATTTTTTCTACATTTTCTCTGGTCAATAAGCCTGATTTGAGTCAGAAACTATATTTTTTCCGAAAATCGCGTGCTTTATGCAACACTTAGGGTAAATGAAAGTTCGCATATAAATTATCTTTGATAACAACTCTAAAAATCACTGCTCTTTTTTCGTGGCCTAAATAGGCAAGATTAAAGGTTTTTTTAATGGCAAGGGGTACATGAATGGCGTAGTCAGCATGTAGTGGGATCCACATAGTTCAACTGCGAAAGCCAACGAAATTATAACGAAATAAAAAACGAGGATCTCTAAAAAGGCGTGGCTCTTGTTCTCAAACAAAGAACAGTTCATTGGACTTATAACCAATGTTTTTTCAAAGAAAGAACTTTCTTGAGATTAACATATGAAACATTGAAGAGAATAACTTATCACAAACTTTGCTGTAGCCTGAATGCAAATCAGGAGCGCAGATCTAATGATCGAGGTTAGACGCTGGAGGGAAAGGGGAGAAAGGGGGCTTTAAGCATTTTCTGGAGATGGCCTCAAAGGATTCCAAAGATAAACCCATGATATTTTTTTTATAAAGGTTCATCATTCTTAATTCCTTCATGTTGAACACCTCGCTAAATCACATTTGATAAAGTTATTCTGAGCAATGTACTTTTTTCCTCATTCTAAGTACATATTGCATTTTAAGCGATTAATTAGTTGATATTTGTCTAACCTCATAAAATTCCTCTAAAAATATTCAAATTCTGCCCTTCTTATCCTTATATTTTCCATGTATTCTTCTTTTTATTTCTTATAATGCATTCCTCCTGTACTGCAGTGCTCGTTTGACCTTACCATCACAAAATGACACCACCGTAAAAAGCCTGTTTAAGCCCATGCAACAAACATTTTCCAATACAATCTAATGAATTTGATCACTTTTTGATATTCTATGCCCAATCCAGATGTTGAGTCCTCTATTTCTTTAGGCTACAATGGAAACTCAACTCTCTGTCATAAACAGATATTCTTATGAACGATATAACTTTGACAGAATGAGAGAAGTTTGGGACTGGTTAAAGTTTATTCTTTAACCACAGTTTAGATAAGGAAAGAGAACCAGAAAAGAGAAAAAATCAAAAATTTTGGCGGCCTCTGCCTGTGTCTCTACTAGCATCCTTTCTTCATTCAAAATTCTTCTCGTTTGTTCATTAACTAGTCCTATAGTTTTATTTTTCGCATCTTTGAGCTGCACTTTCATGAAAAAAGATGTTTCATCAATGAGAATTCCCGTCACGAGTAATTTGATAATTTCAAATCAATCGATTGAAGGTGTTCCTTCTAGAAAAAATTAGGCTCATTTAAGGTACCATCACTATACTACTTATACCCCAGTGTGAGATCTTTATATCAGACACCACGCACCAGTATGAAAAGGGCGTGCCCAAATTTTTGAAAGCAACGCCCTTTGCAACGCCAGAAATCGCTCCTTTTAGAAAATTTTTACTTCTTTTGAAACCGTGATTTTTAAACCCCTAAACAGTCTAACCATTCATAAGCTCTCCAAGTAAGAAAATACAAAATATCACTAACCAAGATAAAGCACCAATAAAATGAACAAAAAAGGGTCCCAGACAAGCAGAACTGCTACTTCTCAGGATTCGTTAGAATAAAATTTCCAAAGTTGCATTTGAGTAAAATTTTCATCCATTTTATCACCTATTATTGCAAAAAAGTAGGGGAGGGTGGCTATAGCCCCTGCTATCCAAATGGCTGTGTGATGTCTACTCTGTATTTATGTAGGAACTTGTTATTTTGTAAAGAGAAAGCCAAGGTAAATGTAGATAAACACGCTTCCAAAACATTATTAGATTCTAAAAGATCTAAACCATTACTGTAGCAAATTTAATAAAGCTGGAAAAATAAGATGTTGAAAAAGAGAGATTTCAGTGTCATTGTGTAGCCTTTTTGCTCAGCATACGCCTCAGCAATGCAGCTGAACAATCGAAGGACTAAATTAAGCTCCTAGATCTCCTTCTTCTGGCTAGCTATACATCATTATCAGATACAAGGAATCAAAGCTACAGCTATGTGTTTAAAGCATCTTGTGGCAGTATAATGTAACAATGAGACTTGCACCGAAGAAAAGATTATAATTCACCCAATCACAGGTAAGAAATCTAGTTTCTTGAAGTGTCCCTGCAAAAGTTCCGAGCAGCAAAATTGACATTATATCTGAATAAATCACAAGCCAATTTGGGGTTTTAGTTCCATGCAGAGATATAGGTTGAAACTTTAAGTATTTGATGTAAGGAAGAAAAGGAGTGCTCTTGACAAAACATACAACTCATGACACTGTGTTCCAGGTAACAATAATAAAATCATAGTTGATAAGCAAAACATGACAGTTAAATTGTGCCAATTTTTGCCATCTGAAGTGAAGGACTGAAATAAAAAACAATTTTATTGCGAAAATAGATTGAGCAAGAAGTTTGAAGCTAGTTTGAAGCTTTTGAACAAAATAAACACGGAAGGCTCAAAACTGACAAAGATTAAGACTCAAGATAACCAGTTTTTCATAAAAACAACTAAAAACGACAACACCCGTATTTTAACGAATCTCTTGTTTGCCTATGTAGAAAAGGAAGAGAAAAATTCGTTTTAATCGATTATGACAATAGGCATTGGAAGCATATGAAGTTTTCATCAATTTTTTTGGAAGTTAAATTTCTACAATATTACTTATAAGATACTACTTTACGACAAGTAAAAGGCCAAGAGTTATTTTAGAACAATACCAAAAGCTGTTATTAAGCTGCAAAACAATTTTTTAAGTATCTTGTTTCCCTTTGAGCACACTTATATCTTTAAAAGTTTGTACTTTCAAGTACAATCAACTATGAAGAAACCTCATTGCATCCTTTCTTTATCTAATATTTTTCTCGTTAGTTCATTAACTAGTCCTATAGACTAGCAGTTATCGTCAAATTTTTCCCGTATATTTTGGCTTTAGTATACTTCCGTAGATGCTAAAACTGATTCGTTGCATTGACCCGTCCTTCCAGTTGAAGCTATCGCGTGATAAATAATCAAAAACATATCTCTAAAACCTTATTCATGTGAACAAGCACAAAATTCAGACCAGGAAAATGCGCAATCAAAAATTGAAGCTAAGCATTGGCCTAGTGGAAGCTAAACATTGATTTTGTCCGAATATTATTGCTTTATCGAGATAGAACTGTCCGAATGGGACCTGAAATGCGATAGATTCTGCCTTGTTAGGGGATGGATGGGGCCTATCAGCCTCTTTGCTTCCTACGCCTGTGGAGGTAAGGACATCTTTCTACGGGAACCTTATCATTGTTCAAAGTGGTGAAAAACTGTTGTGTTTGTGGGTGGTGGCTTTTTCCCGATGGATGAAATGCTTGCGCTTGCCTTGGAGTGATATGAAATAGGTACCCTGTGAGTTCTACGGCAGTAAGTTGGCTAGAGAATAGGCTAAAACTACCCCTTAAAAAAATATGGTCGAAGAAAGAATAGAGTTGGAGAAGCAAATAATTTTAGGCAAACTCTTGAACTTAGGGTCCAATTAGTTAATTATTGCAGGTTTATCTCTTGAATGTTGCATCTGCCATCCATCGCCAGGTGTTACCCATGACTTCTAATGTTCTTACCTCCCTTCTTAGTTCGATGTATCGGGCTATAACGGTGAACGCGTACATCCACCTTTTTAAATGCAAGTTAGAGACGGATTGGTACCCTTCCATATTGTTTACAAAATTGAATACTGGGACCAAGAATTGCGCTAAAATCAGCCATTACCTTTGTTCGACCAGCAAAATGCTTAGAAATGAAAGGTTTATTCTAAATGCTTCTCATGAATACTGCAAAAAAGAAAAGCCACAATTTGGGCACAATATAATGCGACTGGCTTTGAATTGGGCCTATCTTAGAAGATGAAGGTAGGAGAAAGATAGAGTTTTTGTTTATTCTAATTGGCGACAAAAAAAGTGTCATTCTTATAAAGCCCGCTTACAAGAGGTTGTCTTGTACGGTAACCGAAATCGGACGGTGCAATGGGATTGGCAAGATTGTTACCAGATGACAGATGTGGAAGCATAACTCTCTGCTTCCTCAAAGTGCGCGATCTATATGCTCTGAATGAACTTGAATATCTTATGGACATATTTTATGTCTTTTTTCGAATAAGTCATTTGTACAATCTTTAGCTTTTTTCTCGAATCGCAGTACACCTTTGAATGTAAGTTGTAGAAACAAGCAAATTAATTATTTCTGGTTGTAGGTTAGTTTGTCATTGAGTGTTTTAAAAAGTCGCTGAAAAAATATTTTTGATAAAACCGTAATTGCTGAAAAATCGTATAAATTAAACTTACAATCCATGACTGTTGTCATCTTTATCAACATGGAACCCTTTTGAACTCTGCACGTGCGCTTTCATCTTGCGTGATGTTGCTGCGTGTTTACATATGAATCTGACTTCGAATACCTAACTTCGAAATATTTATACCTAAATATACAGCCCACGGATGCAAAACTAGATATAATTCTAATTTTCTTTTGCCATAGGAAGCTGACGCAGTGCTGCATGTGTGGTGCACTTTCGGACATAAGCAAGGTAATTGATAAACAATGAATTATGCGCCTATTCTGTTCGTTGTTGTAGCACGGGGGCGTCTAGTCAGGTAAATACTTCGGTATCCCTGCGACCCGCCAATGCTTTGTGCGAACAAAGAATTAAACAGAGAGCCTTGTTGACATACGACGTCATTTCTGAGCTCGCCATTGCTGTGCTTGTTGCCTGTCGATCTGACGTCACGTTGGGGAATCAACAAAATCTATTTTAAGAATTATTCCACTCTGAAAATAGTAGGCATTGAATAGACTTTTAAGCTGAATGAGTATATTTAGAAACTATTCCGTGGAGGGTTTCTGGTTCTATACAACATTTAAGATTCATTTGTATTGTTTTTGCAAAGAATTTCGACGAAAATATGGGTGGGCAAGTAAAAGCTTAACAGTCAGAAAAGTCACTCCGAAGCCAATTCTTTTTCAATGCATGGACAATTTTATTTAAAATGTTGCATGATTCGAAGATGAACATTTTCACAATTCTTTATGCTTAATGGAAATAAATAATTTGAAATTGACGAACTTTATGTTTCAGGCCAAACGTTGTTACCCTCCATCAATCAGAATTTCTCATTTGCTTTTCCAATGTAGTTATCACGCTTTTACTTATTCTGAAAATTTACTAATTTTCTAAGATATCTGATGTCATTATTGCTGTATTATAAGCAAGAGGAGCTTATAATACAGCAATGGTCTAGTATTTATATATTGTTCCTGTTTTCCCTCTTGTGTCAAAAGCTCTAGCCCGACAAAATGTGAACTTTCTTGCCTTTGACCGACATTCTCTCACGACCTTCACCGATGTATCATACCTGCCCGTACCCTGGGCTCCAGAGCATCAAGTGGGGGAATAGAGAAATATGGCATTTTTTTCCTACCCCCACATACCCAGGGTAAACTGCCCCGTGCCCGCGGTTAAACTGTCCCATGCCAAAGCTAAAAGCTAAAAACCAAACTCAGATATATCTTCAGTATCATTTTATTAACGGTTTGAAGAACCCTATAAAGATTATTCGAATTATTTACAAATAAAGATCTCAGATATATGTTATATATTATTCTTCGATTGCTGGCGGAACAGGGATTGCAGAGCTAGGTCTTAGGGGGGCTAGGGGGCTTAGCCTTCCTTTTCAACCATTCTCTACTATATTCTGCTTTTGAAATGTCATAACTGTATAGATAAATGTTTTTAATGTGGATATAAAAATTACTTATGAAAGTTCCAAAGAATTTTCAAATCTTTAATTTTTGAGCTACCTTTATCATGTAATTTATTAATCAACGCTTTTACAATGCACCCATCACAAATTTTATTAACATTTTTACAGTTAATTTGTGATCTCATGTCGCTACAAAAGGCTCTTAAGTTTTGATTTGTATCACCCAATGCTTGCCAACCGAGATAACTTGCTCCCAATCTCAGACTCTAAATTCAATTCACGAATTTTCGACGAATTTTCATAAGATCAAACAGGAACAAGTAATCTCAGATACAAATCAGCTTGCACTTACACGGAGACCAATTTTAAACCCAGAAAAATGACAGGAGCATTTCTATCAAGTATTCATCCAATTATCCCGAATTCATGCTTAGCAGATAAAGTCGGGCAGTTCTCAAAATGTCGGGCAAAAACTTTGAAAGCAAAGAGATCGATGCGCATTTGAATGCTTGAATGTAAATTTAAATTATTTTACAGAATTGCCTTACTGATGCCCCGAATCGCTTCTGTAAGGCTATTATCGCATTGTATAAAACGTGACTTTAAATTGCTTGTCAACCCCGCAATTAATTATCCTTGCTTATTAAGATTCCCCATATTTTTATCAAATTACTTCTTAAATACCCTTAGCATTTCATCCAATCATCCTGGATGAAGAATTGAGGGATGCCAGTTATTTTATCATATAATTGAATTCCTAGATGCTGACAATACACGATCGATAAAGGGGGTGGCATGTGCGCCCACTCTTTTGCCTAGATTCTATTCTGAGCACTAGATGCACACACACGTAGCTGTTGAAACACTGGTAAGTATATTAGCGGGTAGGCAGATGAGACGTAGGTATTTCTTCACTTACTTTAGGAAATACGTGTGTGTATGTTCAACATGTTTGTTTAGCAACTGTATTACGCATCAAATGTTTACAGTGAGAGTTTCGATACCCTCTCATTTCTCGTTGTGTCTGTTGTCAGGACGACTGCCGAAATAAATTCCTTTTATTATATTGAATTGGTGACTTAACTGACCTTGCAGGAAGTAGATTGCGTCATAGGAGACAGAGGGCGATAGTAGTGTCCAGAATATATGATGCATTCATTTCAAGAGTACCCCCGAAGCAGTATTCCTAATAAATAAAAAGCATCAAAAGACTTATATGAATTTATCTCCCAGGTACACTCAACTCATGCTTCTTCTGACTGCTTCTTCTGAATCCAGAAGTTTTTACTCGCTCTATGTAACATTTGGTCATGCATAAAATCTTTTTTTAAACAGCACTAACGAGATTTCTTTGCTGTACTTAAACCCAAATCTGCCACAGGACTCATAAGCAGACTATCTTTGATTATGTTCTATAATGTTGTTGCTCCTGGTTTGACACCTTCAAAATCAAAGTACGAATCATATATGAGAACAATTTACAATTATGTAGAAAAGCCTCATCATTGCTGAACTGTTTTACAGGAAATCACTAGGAATATTTTGGAGGGAACAAGCAAGGGGATCAGGAGTAGCACAAGCCGGAATTCGGTGGGGTGTACAGGGGAAAATTGGGGGCACTTCATTTCTAAAAGTAAGAAACCTTAAACCTGTTTAATTTTAAGATGTTCCATGTCTTCAAATGTTCAAGTGTGACGTGTGCAGCTATGGCGTCACAGACTAGAGAGAGGTGACATGTATAGTCACTGCAAGAACAAGCAGACCAACGACATTGGTAACACAAACAAGTCTTTCCTGGAGAATTAGCTGCTCCAGTTTTGATTGTGATATAAAGAATCGAACTGGCGAGTGGTTTTGCTTCGACCGAGAAAGGTTGAATGCCTTTTTACATTATGACATACACTGATGCACCAAGAAGACGACGGAGCACACCTTTTCGTCAGAGTACCTTGACTCACCTCTTTTCGAAAAAAACTTTACTTGAGCTATATCTTTCGAGGAATTTTCAACGGAGTGGCTACAGAGACCTCACAGTTTGTTTTTTCAGCATTTTGTAGTTGATTCATTGCTCTCTTTTTGACTCATAGTTGCTTTGTAAGCTGGATTTAGTCCAAATATATATATATATAAATCCAAATATGGATGTCTATTATTCATCTGTTTTCTTGTTTTAAAGCCTGCCCCCCCTCAGGTATGGTTCTTGCATCCAGTTTACCCACCCCAGCCGACATCTCTAGCTATGTGGTCGTGGTTGAGCTCTGGTGATCTCTAAAGGATTTGATAACAAGATTACTTGATTGACTATACGAGACTTTTCCCAGATTTAGTCCTATTGTTAAGTCCATAGAGGTTTCCATAAAGACTGTGTAGTCTCAAAACTAATATCAAGGAAAAGAGTGAAAGCAAATTGCATGCAAGGCTAAACCCAAATGATACCAGTGCTTCAGTGCCGTCGGAACGAAATTCATATTGAGGGGGGCTGCCCATCGTTTTCCTTCTCATTCACTACACTGTTATAAAGGAAACATACTACAGTTTGACAATTATTGGGAGTCTCCAGACGTCCCCCCCTCCCCCAGCACCCCCCCCCGGTTCCGACGGCCTGCTCTTCGATACTCTTTAAGTATAAGCAGTCGATGGATGTTAACTAATACAACAAATTGACCAGGTTTCTGATGATCCCAAATTTCAAACTGACAAGTCAAGTTTTCTAATTTACAGACAGTTGAATATCGGGAGTAGCATTTCTTATTTACAATGGTGACATGCATAGTATTTTGCGGAAAAGCGAATCCCCACGGCTCCTACACATCTTTGATTTACAATTTCCCGCAATGTTTTCCATAAATTCATAATTTGGTCCCTTTTTGCTACACTGCACTACTTTTACAAGCAAACCTAGGACGCTGTGGCAAAGAGGTAAAAGGTTGGCAAGTCCAGGACCAATGCTAGCTACTGTGCTCAAAGAGGGGGAGAGGTGTTCTGATCCTATTTGGCGACAAAGTGGGTGAGCCATCTTTTATTTGCCGACAAGTCTGAAAATTTGCCGACGAAGCACCCCCTACATGGCAAAAAAACTTCTCGTTTTTACAATGGAGCTTTTTTCAAGGAGGGTGTCGCACTGCATTCGACACAAAGCATCTTGATGGTGGCTATATCCGAAACTTTGTTTTAACTCCAAACCATTCTACCTTTCATTCAGACCTATCTATAGAAAATCGTGTTCATTGAAGCAAATGCTGCAAAGACAATGCATGGCCTAATTTCCATTTTCGAAATTGATGGAATATTCCCTGGACTTCGGATGGACTTCAGATGCTTATATTTGACCCTCCCAGTCAGTGGCGTACCATGGGCCGCAGCAGCGGGGGGTCTGGGGCTTAGCCCCCAGAAATTTTTTTAGAACCACGCCCTTCAAACACTCGCAAATGCGGGGAAACGCCTTTTTTGCAAAATTTCCCCCCATTATTTGATTCATGTTAGCTACGGTAAATAGCAAAGTATTTTACAATTGTTAATGACACAAGCATACAGTATACTACACCCCCAATGAGTTTTACATCGTTTTTGGACAAATCTCGAGGATTATATTTTAGAAAAGTGGGTGGTCCGGACCCCCCTATTCCACCCTTGGGTACGACACTGCTCCCAGTCATAGCTGGGAATAAAGTCTTTGAATTTAATGTCCAATGGTGTAGCCAATTTGGATATGGTATGGCAACTGCCTCCTATCCTATTTTTGTCGATTTTTAAGGAAATATTGCTCCTCAGATTCTGAATTCAGAATAATTCATACAAACGTAACACTGTCGTTAGCAATGCCCAGGGACGCCTACACTGGGGGGGGGGGGTTGGCTGGCGGGGCAGCTGCCCCTCCTGCCCTCTTTAAAGAGGGGCAGAGGCGGCAAGAAGTGCTCCGAAATTTATGAACTCTAAAAAGAGATTAAAGATTCTTGTCGATAATTGATGACCACTTTGACCACTCTCGTTATGTTAATTTTCATTAGATAATATTAAAAGATGATAACACCAGCAAAAAAAGCAAAGGTTGAAAGATTGATTAGGTGGGCCATAAGAGGTAAAGCGGCAAAGATGATAGAAAAGTACTCCAGAAACCGAGAAAAGGAGGATGAATCCGTACTAAAACTTGACAGGTCATCAAAATTTTACAACCAGCCCATTCATAACAACCATGATTCTTATTAAGCAAAACATTGTGAATAGTGACAAAGCCATTTAATACCAATTTTTATGTATGAATAATTTCGTCAACTTTTTATCTATGTTTAGAATCTTTGATGGTAAAAAAACCCAGCTGTACGGGTGGCCCATATCAATGTAAATATTTTATTATGTGTACCCCCTCTCCGCCCCCCTTCCCAACTATGAATACTCGATTATGCTAGTAGAAAAATTCTACAATTTGCCCTCAGCACCAACACTGCCCCTCCTGCCTTATTCTTTTGCAGGCGTCCCTGGCAATGCCAAGCATGCATTTTGGAGATACCTTCTAAGGTAAGTAAAGGACGTACTCCAAAATTATTCCTCTCGGGGCCTCCCAATAACCCTGTTATATTTATCTCCATCGACTTGATTCAATCTGGCCATACATTTCAGTTGAAAATACGTTTAACAGTCACTCTTGTTCGACAAAATTTAATAGAAAGTTTGGCTAATCTTAACATATAACTCGCAAGCAGGTTTTATTTTATCGTATATTGTTTGTTTTAACATATTGTTGTCGCAAGCTATTCGGCCGTTAAATGATGCACAAAGAAAGAGAATAGAAAGTTAACCTGCTAAAAGAAACCTGAAAATATGAAGACATGAGCAGGGTGGCAAGGGTTCCAAATTCCTTCCTCTCCACAGTCCAACTTTAGGTTGCTTGCAACGTGTGAGGAAGAGACTATACCATCAACACAAAGCTTATATACTCAGGGCAAATGCACAAATGCACATTTTCACGCTTGTTGTCTTGTCCTTAGAAAAGACACAATGTAATGATTACTCAAGCACTGCTAAAATGAGCACCAAACTCCACAAACGTACTGTCTGTGCCAAAAACAAAAGCCAGAGCGACACCAAGAAAGCATTATTCAACGTATGAGGAAAAGACTTTAATCAATCTTTATGAGGCTCCTTACACTTTGAGATCCTAGGGAATTCGACCACCCCTGTCTCTTCTCTTTTGTGACAGGAATATTCTCTGACATATAATTATACTACACTTTGTGACCCTGGTTATGTTCAGGCTATCAAAGTTTGTGAAAAATGTGGAAAATTTTCAAACTTTGACTAAAAATACTAGTTTTATCACTGCACACTTTTGCTGTTTATAACTGCGTAAAGCCGTATTACCACTGCTCAAACTGGTTGCCATTGCACCTAAATGTTTTGTATGTAGAATTTGCTGAAACCAAGTACTATTTTTACATTAAGAAGAGAGGAATTACAAAAAATTTCATCGTGACAAGTTTTCAAACAGTTTAACAAAATCTTCTTGGACTAAATTATTAAAGGTCTAAGTGTCTCTTTGCCGATTTCAAATAATTGATATCTTTCCTTTTATAGTTCAACTGTACTTTTTCTGTTTTAAAAATTCACGATGAAATTTGGTCATGATGAAATTCAGAAAAGTTGTTCAAAATTTTGTTGACGAAGTTTATCCTCCGAAAAATTATCAAATGAAATTTGTTGTTGTTAATGTAGTCTTTATTTTTAAAAAAGGCCAAGTGTTCTTAAAGCATTATTTCAGTTATGTTCAGTTATTCTGAATCGCTTGTTTAAGAATGATCTTTTCCCAGATTGAAGGGGAACATATTTATTTATTTACCCAATTTCCTTACATGATTGAAAGTGGAATGATTTTTACTATAAAAAAGTATGATAAAAGTCTAATAAAAGTAAGTAAACGTCTTGATCTTTATGTATTTAGTCCTCCTTGTATAGAGACAACGTATTTCTCCTAGTTTCTAAATGATGATTTTCAGTTTCTTTTGTTGCAAAAGGTTTGTCGATCATTACTTTAATGGTCGTAAAATGTATTGTGTGTTGGTAGTGAGCTTTTAGATAACTATAGCATTGATCATGGCGTCTCTCAAGGAAGTTTACTTGGTCCTCTGCTGTTTCTAGTTTGGATGATTTATCAAAATCAGATTTGTTCTAAGTTTAGACGTTTTATACTGTAGATTGCCAGAAGAAAAGCTTTAGATAACTCAAAATGTTTGCTTTTTTCAAAGCCATTTTGAAAATGCCTTTATTTTCAAATCTCTTGGTTTTTCTGTTGATGATTTTTTCCATTTGATTAATCTATTGTTGTTGACTTTTTAACTTTTGTCTTTTCAATTGTTTACTTTTATGATATTCAGCATGCTGAGGTCTCATCTGTTATAAACATGTTAGGCCTGAACATGAGTGGATCGGCATGAGCAAGGCTGGCACCAAATTCCAATCCTAAAAAATTCCGACGGTTTGACAAAAAGATCACATTGATCGGTTTCAACCAAGTATAGCACTTTCTCTATGAGACCAAGCTACTTGCACCAACCCACACCATCGTCAAAGCTTTGTTGATTCAACCAACACATTCTCCTCAAACCTTTGTTGATCCAAGCCACACCCACCTCGAAGCATGGTACTTGTACAAAAATCCTGCCATTATGCATCATTTTATCCAAAAATTCAGGTGAAAAGATGTTACTCAATAAAAAACAACATCAAATGTTTGTTTCAAGTACTCAACCGATAAATGTAACGCATGAGAATGACATTTATTCAGACATTTTCAAACAGCACAAAGCATACTCATAAGTATCAAATAAGACTACTTCACGTGTGGTGTATTTGTGTATTGGTAATTAAAAATAACTTTATTAAAGCGTATCAAAACATGTCATTAGGAACTTATTTTGGTGTGCAAGCAATATGAACATGAAAAGGCAAGAGGCCCTTTTTGGAAATAGTTATTTTTCGTTTTATTGTGCTGCCAAACTGTAAAAGTGATGACCAGTTCTATTCTTTTCATCTATGTTATCCTGGGCAACGACCTTTTTGTTTAAAAGGTATTCGGTCTTATCTTAATGTGGCGCATATGAAAAAAAACTATGCAATTGTTGTTTCTAAAAAGGAAAGTTGGTCTATCGCCCAGAATATTGCTCCTCTAGTTGCCATGCAGCAAATTGGGGACTGACGTGCAAGTGCTGTAAAACATGAAAGCAATGGGCTACAGGGACTTTATTCACACCTTATACAATACGAAATATGATGACAAAAGTTCTAATAGCAGCAAGTCTGTTACATATCATATATGTTAATACATTTCTGTATTTTTGCAAATTTTGATAAAACTTCATAACTTATAAAACTATATGAAACTTATTCCAAAGTTTACAGGAAGATAAAGTATGTATCGAAAATAAAAAATGCTAGACACATTTGCTTCAGCATGTCACAGATTCCTTTGGTAAGTTTCTTCGTGGAAATGAAAATTCTTTTGCCACTTGTAAAAAATGTTGTTATAAAAAATGTGCAGTTGTAAAGACATTATCAAATAAAGTTCTTATCAAATGAAAGGAAGACTAACATTTACACTAATTGAAAAATGAAGTGACCCATGTTAATGTATTCTGCAATGAAAGCATTATGTATGCACGTAATTCAAAAGAACCTTTTAGCTTGAAGTTGAATTGATATCAGGTTTAGTCATATTTGTCATGGAAAAAGAAGCTTGGTTTCCTGGAAAGGTATACTGACATTACTCACGAGTGAATCTCTGAACTGTTCCCTAACAGTGCAGAACTTTTCACAGTCTAGACTGTATCATTAGGATCAACTCCATTCGATCGAAGAAGAATCATGGTCTTTTCACTACAGTGGGGAATGGGTTAAGTGAATGTGTATGAATTAGTACCGAATTATGTGTATAAATTTTAAGTTAAAGGTAAAGGACCGTCAAATATGTGTACATATTTTTCATTTTACTAAAGACAAATTGAAATATGCAAGATTTTGAACAGGCAATAAGCCAAGCCCAGCAATTTTCTTATACAATATGCAGTGATACCTCTCAACGCAGAACCTTGTTTTATATTGAATAAATGCAACCGAACTGAATTTGAACAAGTATTTTACATTGCTCGTTTGTTAGATCACACATCTTTACAACCAAAGAACCCTACAACTTGTTGCAGTGATAATGTATCATATCTTGATCGGAGAATCGTTCCTGCAACGCGTTCTCCCTTTATATGATCAGTAGCTCTACATTATCTGATACAATAAAAAAAAACCTGATCCAGGGAGACTCAAATTTTGCCTGTTGCATTACTGGGGAAATTTTTTTAATTCCAGCTAGCAGCACTGAGAAGCAGAAAATTCCTCTTGGATTAAGGAATGATGTTAGGTCGATTCATTGCTGGCATTGAGGTTACCTTCCATTCCGGACACCAATTTGATTTTTTCTCTTGCATTTTGCTATCCATTCCTTACCTTTTTCCCACTCGTTTAGGCTCTGTACTTTAGAGTGATCTAGGTCTGCGCTAAC